TAATAAATTTTGCATCAATTAACAATGATTATTATGGGTAATGGAACCATATAACTTCCAAACCCATATAAAACATGAGCTACTAAAGCTAGTTCCCTATATCATAACTCTAAAGTGACAGAATACTGAGAGAACAACTCATTCTCTGAAATTGAATAACCACTTAAAGTTATCTGTCTAGATAGATAGATAGATAGATATGCAGATATACATAGAGATATATAGATATAAAGAGATACATATATGTATATCCCCTAACAGATCTTACGCAGTTCATAATATTTTATTTCTTCAAACTATCTCCATTAGGCTACCAAACATTAATGTATTAACTACATTTAGAGAAAATTAAAATAAACTGCTCAACAAAGAGGATATGTCATAATAAAACCAAACAGTCTGTTTAGAACCTAAAACTGATGTCACATGGTTATATATAGTACATGTAGCAAATGAAAAACATTTTAAAATATTTTAAATCATACCTTTGCCAGCTTCATTTCAACTGAATATAAGTATGTTGTTAGGAATGCATCACAACAGAGTCTATATAAAACTGATTCTGCCACAAAAAATAAGGCAGGCAGCTGATCATAATCAAAGGAAGCATGGTCCAGGGAAGCATACAGCATATTTAAAGCTTCTGAAATATTAAAAGTAGATTCCATCATTAAAACATAATGCTACTTTTCAATGTGGTACCATTAATTCTTGCAATCAACTATTTGTTCAGTCATCAGGACCAAGTTGTAAATTGAAAACATATGCACAAATTCTTTGACATGCCTCTCATCAAGAAGTGAAGGCTGTGTCCCCCTTCCCTTGAGCCTGAGCAGACCTTGTGACTGCTTCTACTAATAGAATGTGTCAGAACTGACACAGTATGACATCAGAGGCTACATAAAAGAAGGTAATAAAGCTTCTTCCTGGGTCTCTCTCTCTCAACATACTACATTGGGAGCCTAATGTGTCATGTTCGAAGTCCAAGTACTCAGAAGTCACCAAGCTGAAAAGACTACATAGAGATAAAGAGAAATGCCTGAGGAGTTCCAGCTCTTCCAGCCAAATTAGTTGATCATGATACCACAAATATAAAACTAAAAAAAAAAAAGCCACACCTACTTCCATTGAGTCAATTCCAACTCACAGTGACTCACACTGGGTTTCTGCAGTGGTAAATCTTTATGGAAGTAGATTGCCCAGTCCTGCTTCCATGGAGTGGCTGGTAAGTTTGCACCACCAACCTTCTGGTTAGTAGTCAGGTGCCTTAGGCACTGTGCTACCAGAGACCCTTACAACAAATATAATGGTGGAGAAATATGACAGAACTGGAAAGGCAGTGCTAAAGATAAGTGTTATATTAGAGAATGGCCAAAAACTAGAAAATTGAGGCAGAGGAAATAGGACCAGGCATAGCTGGAAGAGGAAAAACATGGAGTTAAGATTCTAGAAAGAATAGCCCTTCAAGTGATTTCAAAGGCTTTGAGGAGCTAACATGTAAATACCTGGGGAAGAAAAGCAAATGCAAGGATTTGAGGAAGGAAAAACCATGGCATGTTCAAGGGACAGGAAGGAGGCCAGTCTGGCTACAGCATAATGAGTAAGTAGGCAAGGTAGCCAGGGACCAGATCATACAGAGCCTCATAGGCCATAAAATGGAGTTTGGGCTCATTTTGACTAATCAGAAGATACTGGAATTGATTTAAGCTTCAGAAGGGTCACTGCTGAGTGGTGGATGAACAAGAAGTGGGTAAGAATATAGGCAGGACATCAGTTAAGAGTCTATTTTAGTTCTGGAGCTGGTGAGAAGAAATCATATTTAGGGTGCTATTTAGAGTTCAAAATCTGAATGAGTTAAAATACTTTTGTCTGTATGTGACAGAAAACTTAACCATAAATATCTTCAAAATAAGAATATTTACTATTTCATAAGATCAGAGTTGGAAAGGTTCCATAGTTGGCTTGTGTAACTACCTTCTATGTGTGTATTTTTCTTCTATCTTCTAGCTCCTCCTGATGTGTATGACTGTGAAGACTATGCAAGCCCAAGGCATCATGTTTCTACACAAGGAAATCTAGGTAGGATGAAGTGAAAGCTGGGAAGAGACGGGGACACATTCTCCCCAGGCATGTCTTTTTCAAAAGCAAGTCAACAAAAAGTACCCAAAACAAATCTGTGCTTATATTTCTTTAGTCAGGAATGGGTCATGTGGTCACCCCTAACCCAAGCACTGGCAAGTGACAGGAAATTGCCATAACTGGTTAGACCATCCCCAAATAACCTCCTGAGGCTGGGCAAGAGCCACTCCTTTTCTCAGTCACACCACTGAAGGAAAACAGAACATAAAAAAATACACTGTCCTTGAGTGGATTCTGACTCATGGCAGCCTCATCTGTTAGAAATTAGAACAGTTCCATAGTGTTTTCTTGGCTGTAATATTAGTAGGAGCAGATTACAGGTCTTTTCTTCTGTGTTACCACAAGGTGGGCTCTAACTGTCAACCTTTAAGTTAGCAGTTGAATGCAAACCATTTGTGCTGCCTACATCTGAACATAACTGAGGATTAATTGATAAAGAAGCGGAATTGACTGCTGGTTGGGCAACTAAGCATGTTTACCCCAATATCGTTAAACATTTTGTAGAGGTTAGGCAGTGGATGACATTGTGATAAAGTTCCATAAATGCAAATTAAATATAAAATAGCTCTTACTTTGGCTATTACTTCAAAACTCACAGACTGTATTACAGAATACAATTTAATTGTGGAAATACTCTGTGACTTCATGTGGTTAACATTCTGAAATTCTTTTTAAAAGGCATACACATAAAATTTAGGATAATGATAGAAGGAATTTTATCCTCTTAAAAATAAATTTTTTTTTCAGATTGGTTGGAGAGTGGTTTGAAAGGAAACATGTGAATGAGTTGTTGTTGTTGTTGTTATTTGCCATCGAGTCGGCCCCGACTCATAGCGACCCCTCCTTGGGTTTCCGAGGCAGTATCACTACGGAAGTAGGATTGCCCAACCTTCCTTCCGAGGAGTGGCTGGTGGGGTTGAACCGCCAGCCTTCTGGTGAGCAGTCAAGTGCCTTAGCCACTATGCTACCAGAGCATGAATGAGTAGTGATAAATAAATAAATAAAACTTGCTGTTTAAAATAAGCGAAAAACAAATGGTCACTGATTAGTATCTTATAAATAAGAACTATTATAAAACGCTAAAACAGGTGTGGTAGTTAAGGTTAATGTGTCAACTTGTCTGGGCCTGGTTTTGAGTGACTGGACGGCTGGAGGTAGTTAATCCCCATAATGAGACTGGCAATCAACTCCATGATGGTATCCACCAGAGCAGCTGAGTAGCTGCCTTGGGGATGTAGTCTGCTTCCATTATATAAGAAGCATTGAGAAAGGTCTCTGCAGCTTTTTGGCATGCTTGGACCCTGCATGTAGCTGAGTCTTTGTTCAGCAGCCTGTCATGTTTCCTGCCGATCTTAGGACTGTCTCTGGACTTGAACTATTATCCTGTCATTTTGTTTGGTAATCTTAGGACTCTTCCATTTTATTTGTTGACCTTGGGTTTGTCAGCTTCATCAGCCAGCAGCTACCTGAGCTGAGAGATGCCTCCAGCTTCAGTGGGCCAGGAGCAAGAAGCAGAACTGAAGTTTTAGGTCGCGGGGCTTTCACCTAGCCCCTGGAACTGGCACTTTTAACTCAAACTTCCAGCCCCCTAAACATTAAGAGAATAAATCCCAGTTTGTTTAAAACCATCCATTTGTGGTATTTTCTGTTAGAGCAGCACTAGAGAACCAAAACAACATGTTTCTATAAATTATAGTGCCTATTGTAATTCAAAATCACTAAATGATATTTTATGTTTTTAATTATTTGCTAATTTTTAGAAAAAAGCAACAGAAGAAAACAACTGGTTAGAAGCCCTAAAAAGTAACAAAAAATATGCTGAACAAAAGTTTTAAAACCAAGTTTGAATTAAAAAGTTGAATAATCAAATTCATGAACTCAAAATTACAAAAGAAACTTTCATCATGAAACATTATAATAAATTTTGATGAAGACAAATTTTGTTGACTCTTGCACAATTTCTAGAAATTAAAGATCTCAATATACCTTCAGTTGTTGTTATGTGCCATCGAGTGGGTTCCGACTCATAGCAACCGCTCGTTGGGTTTCCGAGGCAGTATCACTGTGAAAGTAGATTGTCCAACCTTCCTTCCGAGGAGTGGCTGGGGGATTTGAACCGTCAGCCTTCTGGTTAACAGTCAAATGCCTTAGGCACTATGCTACCAGAGCTCCCTTACCTTCATTACCTTCATTACTACCTTCATTACTCATCTAGAAATAGCGTGATTAAGACGAGTTGAGTTAGAATACATACCTTCTTGGATGTCTCCCTTGCATTGAGCCAGATACGTTGCTTCAATCCAGCCAATAGGGATATATACATGCTTCCCAGAGCCTAAGGTTTTGAGACCCAGTCTTCTCTGTAATGAGGAAGCAAGAAGGACAAAAAGCAAAATGAACATCTTTTTATTTACTTTTTTATTTGATTGTCTCTTAATTATATTCTAAATGTCATTCTATGAAGCTGATGCCTGATGGTCAAAGTGTAAAAAATTATATATTTTTTATTTTATTATTTTTCGACATTTTATGTAAATTGTATAAGTGTTCAGATGTCGAAAATGTTTAATATTCTGAGTAGTATCATTAATTATTTGATGAAAATAATTCTCTCTCTTTGCTTTCTAGGAATTACTTTTATTTCATTTTCCCCAAAGCGATCGCATCTCTTATTTTATAAGGTAAAGTAAAGAGGAAATGTGATTAAACAGAAACTAGTTTGACGCCAATTTGATGAGAAACTCTGGCTACTTCAGTGTTGATGAACCAACGCTAATGAACATGAAAGACATAATCAGGATTGTCCGGCGTATCTTCTGCTAGGGGCGATTGGCCAATCAGCCAACACTCACTGATTGCTTTTTCGTACTGGAACTTGCCTGCATGCATACGTATCAAAAGCATACTCTTTCCTAATCAAATTTTTGAAAATAGGTTTTTCAAAAATTTTAAATACACAGGCAACTATGAATTAAACTACTGGAAAGCAACAACAACAAACCAGGTGATTTAATTTATGCACAACTTTTATGCAACCATTATTAATTAATTATTTGGTATCAGAGCAAAATGATATGTACATTATTTCTCTGACAAACTTAAACTGAATATAATATAGAAATGAAAAAGCAATGACTAATTTTATTATTTGGGTAACTATTTCAAAATTTGAGAGTTAATCCACTCAAAAATTGTATCTTTCCTAAGTTGAAGAGCAGTTCATTACAAAGGACAGAGTACTTTTCATGCGTGTAGTGAATATTTAGAAAGGCTTTGTTTGCTTTTGGTTCATATCATATCTTGCTTACCTTTTTTAAGAAAAAAGTAGACTTGTCATAATGAAAGATTTATTTGCCAGTCTTTGATATTTTGCTGTGGCTTTGGACTGGTGTAAACAACAATATTGCCCAATAATTTATGGAACCTTCACCCACAAAGCCATTTGACATTGAATTACTTGGTTATAAGCTTTAACTTTAAGGTGCTCTGGTGGTGTGGCTAAGGCATTTGACTGCTGACTAGAAAGCTGGTGGTTCAAACTCACCAGCCAGTCCATGGAAGGAAGATGGGACAATCTATTTCTGTAAAGATTTACTGCCTTGGAAACCCAGTGTGGGCTTTAACTTTAATTGGCATTAATATTCTTAACTATGACTATAACTACAGAAAATGTGTATACTCATGTTTTCTTCTACTATTTTAGAACATATAATCATTTACCAGCTAAAAGAGAAATTTCACATACAAAAGTAATGAAATAGTGGGCCATTACCTTACATCTAAGAATAATTTTTCTAATTTGTTCCTTTAAATGTTCCTTCTCTCCTAGGTCCTGTGTACAGTTGAATTTCAAGATGAATCCTTTTGTGACTGAAAATAATGGTCTAAATAAAAATAAATAAATATGTTATCACTCCCAATGTTTAATCAACTTGAAGCAGCTGAGAATAAGTATTTTCTAGAAAATTTACTTTGCCTTTTCAGTAAGAATGTTTCACACACAAATAAAATAAATCGGGAAAATAAAAAATAAATATGCAGGCCTCCTAGATTTATTTATTCATTCTCTTAGATTGAGGAACATAGTTTTCATGAGGACAAAGACCATTCTGGCCTCTGAGGGAGAAAAAAGAATTCTAATGGTTGTCAGAAGTCTTGTTAGTATAGCCTACTGCATAGGTAAGGAGCTCTGGTAGTATAGTGAATAAGACATTTGGCTGCTAACCAGAAGGTCAGTGGTTCAAAACCACTTTGCAGGAGGAAGATGAGGCAATCTACTTCCATGAAGATTTACAGCCACTTCCTCAGCAATCTCTCATTGATATATAGCCAATAGAAATTGGTGCACCCATGCATTAAGGGAACATGTATAAGAATGTTTAAAGCACCATTTTGTTAAGAGCAAAAATATGGAATCAAACCTAATGTTCATCTATATGGATCAAGTCTGGAATGTCTATGAAAATACATTCTCTGCTTTCAATAAACAAATTTGAGTTAACTTTCTAGTTCCTCTGGAAACCTAATAAAAATGGAATGTTAGTTATTGTATTGTAACCATTACATATAGTAAAAATGATATATGATTGGTACCCTATATCTGAACTAGGAGGACTGTGCATAAACTATAAACACCTAACAAGATTACTACCCATCTGTCAGTTTGTTATACTGCAGTAGCTTACATGTTCTTATGATTCCAGAAACTATGTCACTAATATGTCAAATACCAGCAAGGCGGACAGGTTTCAGTGGAACCCTTCCTTGGATTTCTGAGGAAGTATCATTACGGATTGTGATAGATTGCCCAACCTTCCTTCTGAAGAGTGGCTGGTAGGTTTGAACTGCTAGCCGTCTGGTTAGCAGTCACATGTCTTAGGCACTATGCCACCAGAGCTCCTTTTTTTTTAGGTTTGTCCAGATTAAGACAGATTAGGAAGAAAGGCCTGGCAATTGACTTCTAAAATTAGTCAATAATTTGCATGATATAAGGCTGGAAGATAAGCCCCCCTAAGTGGAAGGCCCTCAAAACACCCAGTGACTCTAACAATAGATTTGGGCATGCCAGCAGTTATGAAGATGGGGCAAGATCCGTCAGTGATTCATTCTGCTTTTCACAACAGACTCAACAGCGACTAACTTGACAAGAAGAACCTTTGGGCTTCCCTGAGCTTGATGACTCTTGTGTCTGGATGTGTCCTTTGCAAGAACCTATAAATTTTTTAAAAAAGTCATTGGTTCCACTTCATGATATCTGGATTCTAAGCCATGGATCTATTGCACCCAGCTCTATGGGTCTCATTTCCTCATTTGAGCAGTCATTTGTAGGGCCCAAAGACAACTAGCTTCTATTCCATTCTGATGTATGGGCTGCTATAAGAACTCCCTCTGAAGACAAAAAAACGGCTACCTTGCTCATATATTGTGTTTCCTGGGATATCTCTGCTAAGTGAAGTCAAAAGTAAGTTTGGTTTATGATAATCATATGAATCTGTCTAGTTGAGCAAAAAAACAAAACAAAAAACCCTCAAAAGTGGATATTCAACGTCAAAGAAATGAAAACAAATTAACTGCAGTTGCACGTTGAATGTGATGATCTTACAAATATGTTAATCCAGAAACAAAAGAATACAACTTATATAATTCCACTTATATAAGATGTAAAACTACAAAGAAAAATTAAAAAAAAAAAATGTTTGTAGAGCAGAGATAGATAGCAGGGAAAGAGAGGTTTCATTGGAATAAGTTGTAAGAAAGGCTTCTGGGTTCTGAAAAGGTTTTATTTCTTCACCTGGTGAGTATACAAGCATTTGCTTTATGATAATTCATCAGGCTTTATATTTGTATTTTATATACTCTTCTTATGAGTAACATCTCACAATAAGAAAGTTTTTAAAAATGGATGCAAGATCCAAGAGGATGTTTAATTTTAATTATAATATTGTTTTTCTAAAATTACTTTCCAAGAAATATTGTAGTAATTCATATTCTTACTATAAAGCTGGAAATTCCCATTTTTCCACATCCTCATCAGGGCAGTATGATATCACTCTTTTCAATTTTTGCCCATTTAATAGATGAAAATAGTACATCCCTATGGTTTAAAAGTTGTATCTCCCTAACTACTAGCATTCATGAACAGCTTTTCCTATATGAATTGTCTCTTATATTTTCTATTTTGTAGAACACATGTTTATATACTTTGCCCCCTCCCCCTTTTTTTCTGATTAGGCTTCTTTTTTTTCTTTAGCTTATCAATTTGAAGTAGTATAATACAGTGGTTAATTGCACAGGCTCACCAGCCAGGTTGCCTGGGGATTGAATTCAACTTTCTCTTACAAGCTATCTAGCTGTAAATAGTTTATTTACCCTACCTGTGTCTTAATCTCCTTATCTATAAAATGGATACTCAACTATGCAAACTTCACAGGCTTGTTATATATCTTGATGACATAGATACCCAACCCAATCTGAGTTTTTTATTTACATTATCCGAGGATTCAGAACTTTCCTCCTGCCAAATCTGGTCATTCATTCATTCAGTAAATATTTAATAGTTTCCTCCATACCAAAAGTTTTGGTAGATAGGTAAGAGCTACAAAGAAGATTCAGGCCATGTCTTGGGATATTCATACGCTAGGAGGGAAGTACATAAGCGAGACATATACTAAGAAAAGGAATAAGACCCTGCAGGAGTTCAGAAGAAGTAGAGCTCATGATTCAACCACTGCCCGTCCTATAATCTTTGCTGAATAGCTTAATCTGTCTGCTGCAATATTCCATCTTTAGAGGCAAGGGTAAGGAGCCCTGGTGGTGCAGTAGTTAAGTGCTTGACTTCTAACTGATAGGTTGCAGTTGGAAAGGTTCTCCAAGTTGGATTTGGAGAAAGATTACAGTCTAGGAAACTTTAGGGAGCAGTTGTACTCTGTCCCATAACCAAACTCCAACCAAACTTACTGCCTTAGAGTAGATTCGATCTGACTCATAGCAATCCCTCCCTTGGATTTCTAAGGAGGTATCTCTATAGAAGTAGATTGCCCAGTCTTCCTTCCGAGGAGTGGCTGGTGGGTTTGAACCACCAGCCTTCTGATTAGTAATCAAATGCCTTAGGCACTACACCACCAGAGCTTCCACTCAGTATCCAGCATTAAGTATATGCCAGGATCTAGGCTGTGTGTTCTGGTTTAATACTTCCCAAACTTCTGCAAGATTGTGTCCCCATCTCTGTTGTTGTTGTTGTGTGTTGGTGAGTCAATTCCAATTTATATCCAACCTACGGGACACACAGCCTAGATCCTGGCATATACTTAGTGCTGGATAACTGTTAGTTATGCAGATTTCTGCTTTTGCTTAATTGTGCACTTTACTGTTTTTCAGAAAAGTGTCTTTATTAGAAATGATCCTTTGAGTCTCACTTTGAAATATAGAAAGGAACTGGAGAATGACAAGTAACAGCTGTCTTTTCAAAATTCTTTCTTGGGGCAAGGTCTCATAAGTAGACTTTCTGGCAGCTGTGTGTAGTCACATGGTCAAGCCAATGGGGTGCAAGCAAATGTAATATATGCAACTTTCAGGTCACCTTTAACTTAAAGACAGTCCCCCAGTAATGCAAACAGTTAATGTATTTTGCTGCTGAACAAAGGTTGGCAATTCAAGTCCACGCAGAGGTACCTCAGAAGAAAGGCCAGGCAATATAGTCCCAAAAAATTAACCCTTGAAAACCCTTTGGAGCACAGTTCTACTCTTACAGTTGCCACGAGTTAAAAACAACTTGATAGTAACTGATACTGGCACTAACAAATACAGACCACTTTCCCTAAAATGAGGATCTTTTTGCTCTTTCCAATGGCATTTCCAGTGTACTTTCCAGAAATAAAGTAGTGAATCAGCTTTGTTTAGGCAGATGAAGACAACGCCCTATGAAAATGAGGGACTCAATTCCTTACTGACTCCATAAGCACAGCTACTCTGTCAGTCTAGACTCGCTTTGTTTGTCACATAAATAAATCTCTATCTGGTGGTTCAGTGATTAAAGAATTCAGCAGCTAATCAAAAGGCTGGTGGTTTGAAACCACCAGCTACTATTCCCTGGGAAAACGATGAAGCAGTCTGCTTCCGTAAAGATTTACAGTGTTAGAAACCCTACGGGGCAGTTCTACTCTGTCCTTAGGGTCTCTGTGGGGCAGAATCAACTCAATGGCAGTGTTTTTTTTTTTTTTTTTCTTTTTGGCGGGGGGAGGAGAGGACTTATCTTACTTAAGCTGAAATTAGAGGAGGCCTCTTTCTTGTAGTTTCAACTTTACCATAACCAATACAAGTAAGAACAAACAATGAAGAGCTTAACCCTAACATAGGGTGATAGTCTTTAAAATCAAGATAGGAAATGAAGACAGAAATGTGAAGTTGAGAAGTAAATAGCATTGAATGATGGTATATTGTGTCAATCAAATTCAATTCAATTCTGACACCAGCTGAGCCTAACCACCTGGAGACAGGGCAGAATTTACAAATGAAGGGGGAAGTCCTCCAAACTATCCCATCTGCCTAAGACTTCAGATGCCAGTCACAAGCTTGGGAAGTCTACATGACACCCTCACTATGCTCTATAGGCTACAAATTCAAGGATTCCCTTTATCCCTGCAGGATGTCAACCATAAGTTCAGGGGGACGCAAGCTCCTTCACTTCTTCTGACTTCCTGTCTCCCACTACTTCCTCGGGTTTGGTAATTTGCTGGAACTCACAGAACTCATAAAAGCACTGTACTTTTTATTACAGTTTTATTATAACAAAAAGATAAATATGAACAGACACATAAGGTGAGATCTGGGAGGGTCCCCAAAGTTTTCATGTCTCAAAAACATGTTAGTGCCCATGTGGACAGGC